CTCCGGAACCAACCTATAGATAGCGAGGGGGGATTCCTGCCTGGCTCCAGAACCGACCTATAGACAGCAAGTGGGGGATTCCCATCCCACTCTGGAACCGACCTTTATGTCATTTTAAGCACAAAGAAGGTAGAAGGCAGGGCCTGGCTTTACTCCCCCGTGGCCCCTACACACACTGCCTGTGCCAGCTTCAGGGCTGTGGGGGCAGCAGGTGACAAGTTCCAGGTGCTGCCGGAGGAATGGGCATGGGGGGTGCTGGACACAAGAGTGGTTGTGCGCTCCCCATCAGAGATTTGTGCTTGGTACTCGGTGGGCCGAGGTAACGCTCAAGCACCAGAAAGGAATCCCTGAGCCAATCACCGCCACCACTGGCTCCGAGCCCAGCACCCCATCCCCATGGGAATCCAGATGTCAGGACCTGAGCCAGTATGAGAGGGACTGGCTGGGGCAACAGAGTCTGTCTAGCACAGTCTGGCACTCGCCTGCTGTCCAGACCCAGACGACTAGCTGTGAGAGGGGGCAGGAAACACCCCTTCGAACTTCCCAATGCAAGCGTCTCCTGGAGCCCCCGCCCAGCATGATGCCCCCACCCCACCCCGCCCGACAGCCTAACCTGGAGCCCCCGGGCAGCAGCAGGACGTGGAGCTGGTTACAAACTGGTGGGCTGGATTCAGTGACGTGCAAAGAGTGTTGCAGCCTGTAAATCCGACTGCCAGCACTGCTAGGGAAAGGCGTCTCTCCAAAGCAGGTAAGGCGAACCCGCTGGAGGTGTGCATCCCTCCTCCTTGGCTTGCTTTGCCTTTACTGTCCCTCTGGCTACCGTCGGTTATTCAGCCTCAGGAACACTGTTAGGAACAAACCCCGAGTGCAGGCAAACAACTGGCTGCCCCTTTCGGCAACGCCGGGCCCAGCGTGGCTGGGTGCCAGGGTTCTGCCCTTCAGAGGGGGTCAGGGGGTGCACTCCAGAGAGGCTGAAGGAGTTCTAAAGCACAGTTCACCTGGCAGGCAAGGCAGGGTAAACAGGCACTTAACATAAAATCCGAAGGCCCTTACTCTGGCTGCATGCCCTGGCCCTGGGGGCCGTGCGGAGTGGGAGGAGCTGGAGGGGGGGGCAATGTGCCAGTTCCGTGCAGTGAGCCTCTGGACTGCAGCAGCTTGGGGGAGCTGAAGGTTTTCAGCACTTTGGTATCCTCTCCTAGGAATAAAAACATGAGAAAATGATCAGCCAGCTGTCCAGCTCGCTGCCACCCCCCCACCCGGCCCACCTGCCAATCACCCACCTGGCCCCAGCCCCCTGCCACCCCTCTCAGCCCACCAACCAACTCCCCACCACCCCAACAGGCCCCAGATAACCAGACCCAACCCAACAAGATACACTGGCTGGAAGCTGATGCTAGACAAATTCAAAAGAGCAAATTAACAGTGAAGGGTGATTAACCAATGGAACAATTTACCAGGAGTTGTGGTGGATTCTCCATCACGGGCAATTTTTAAATCAAGGCTGGATGTTTTTCTAAAAGATCTGCTCTAGTTTAAGCAAGAGAATCCAGGGAAGTCCTATGGCCTGGGCTGTACACTCAGATTAATTGATCACAGTGGTCCCAACCAACTCTCCAGCTGCCCAAACCTCCCATCCAGCACCAACCAACGTCCCAGTGCCTCAACCCTTCCATCGGCTCCCAACTAACCAACTCCCCAGCCCCATACTGAATGACTGACCCCCAGCCCTTCACCAAGGCCTCTATCCCCTACTGACCAACTGATCCTCACCCAGCCCTTCACCACATCCCCGGGCCCGAGAAACCAACTGACCCATCAGCCACGCCCCATCAACTTCACCAACTCCCCATCCAATGTCCCAAGCCCTCACCCAACATGTCCACTTACCTGCAACCAACTCTCCAGTCTCCCAAGAGACTGACCTACCTACAGTCACCAAGCAACCAATTCCCACTCCACAACCCACTAACCTACCCACTGGCCCCAGCCCACTCAGGGCTGTCCCTAGCCATTTGGGTGCCCTATGCAGCCCCCCCCATGGGGGGCTGTGTGGGGCCCCAGGCCACCCCCCCCAGGGTCTGGGAGGCAGGAGCTGTGGGGGGCTACTTTTGAGGGCCCCACAGGCCCAGAGTGGCCCAGGGGATTAGTGGGAGGCCAGGAGCAGCCCGCTCTGCTTCCCTCGCCCCGGTCCCAGCCGTGTCGCTCGGGGGAGGGGGTTTGGGGGAAGGGATCCCACCCCCCGACTCACCGGCAGCGGCGGGAAGCAGAGCGGCCTGGCCCCAACCTTTCCCCGCACTCACCGGTGGCGGGAAGCAGAGCGCCGCGGCTGGGAGCTGGCGGAGTAGAGCGGGCTGGGGCCGGGTTGCTCCGCTTCCCACCGCTGCCGGTGAGTGTGGGGTCGCTAGGGGAAGGGGTGGAATGGGGGTGGACCGGGGGCGTAGCAGGGGGGAAGGGTAAGAGGCAGGGCGGAGGGAGTTGTCCCGGGCCCCACACCCCCCTAGGGCTGAGGGATAGGGCTGGTCGCTGGGGCTGGTGCTGCCACATATGCAGCATGCAGCAGCCTAGGGCACCATGAAATTAGGGGCAATTTGGTGCCCCAAATTTCATGGTGTCCTACGCAGCTGCATATGCTGCATATGCCTAAGGACGGCCCTGAGACCACTAACCTACCCACCAGCTCCCCGCAACCCACTAACC